ACATGTCTTCGACTTTCGCTCGTCGCGGGGATTTTTTCATTTTTCCGGAACCAACTTTGAAGATGACTTTTCAGTTTTCCGTTTTCTCCGTTCCGAGAAGGAAGAAACTTTTACCGTGAAACCTTGATGGTGGATGACTTTTCCGGTGATGACTTTCCGGTGCAACGGCACCACTTCTAATGTACATATGTAAGCTCACTTGACTTTCCCGTTCAGGGTGTTCGGGTTTTGTCGTGGGTTTTGGTTTTACTTTGCACCTTTTCGCCGCAACCGTTTTCACTTTGACTTTTACCGCTCGCTCTCTTTCGGCATGCCATGGCTGTCTGACTTTGTGTTGCACTGGCAACTTTCTGCATCAGTGCCTGAGACTTTCAGTGATGGCGCAACCGAACTTTGCGCAAGAGCCACCCCTCAAGGACGGTGAGGTTAGACTTTTGCGACTTTTGTTGCAAAGGGCTGCTCGGACCGAGTTCGACTTTGGGTTCGAACAGTCGAGGAACTTTGCCCCGTGCCGGTCTCAGTGGAGAGGAGGCCACTTTTGAGCCAGAGTGACTTTGTCAACTCTGGGGTGCCCCCGCCTGCGCCGGAGGATCGTCCCACGGACTTTCTCTGGTTCGTGTTTTTAGGCCTGGTGGCACTTTGGGGCTTTTCCACTTTGGCCATCTTTGTGGCCCCAGAGATCGTGAACTTTGGCGGTTTCCTTAGAAGGCTTTTCCGCCAACTTTTGAGGACACTTTTCGGTCGTGGGCGCAACCCACAGCCGTGATGGCGCCAAAGAGGCCGGGCTACTTTCCGCCTCGTTTTCGTCCTGGTGGGGACTCCACTTTGCTGGAAGATGTTGCGGCCACTTTCGGCCCCAAGCCAACTTTAGCACGTATGCGTCGACCTTCTTTCCAAGCGACTTTGTGCAAATGTTGGCCGAGGGCAGACAGGTAGAGCAACTTTGGCGCCCCGGCACTCTGCACCCGATGCACTTTCCTCCTGGTGAAAGGCTCACTTTGGAGAGCATCTTGCAGACTTTGTTTCCGGGAAGGGAACACCCGGGACTTTATACGCCGCCGGAGCAGATCTACCTGGCCGCGACCACTTTCCAGTGGCTTTTCACGACAATGCTGATGTCGGTGCCGGCGACTTTGCCACCGAACAGTTTTGCAAACTTTTATACATGTGACTTTACCTTTGGCGATGATGGACCAAAAGGTGCGGGCGCTACTTTCTACAGGGCGCCTACTTTTCACAGGAGCGGACGCTTTCTGGAGCGAGGGTAACCTGAACTTTTCATGGTCACCTCGATCGGCGCTGCTTTTGTTCACTTTTGGGCTGAGTATCCAGCTGCAAAGCAACTTTCGCCACCAAGGCATTGGGAGACTTTGCACCTTCGCCTTTAGGCCGAGCTTTCAGTACTTTTCTTTTCTGACGCAGCAATACGAGGTGTGGAATCGTCGCTATCTCGACTTTTTCCTGGCGGTCCCGAGAGATGGAACACTTTGTTTGGACAACTTTTCTGAAGAGGGCCGCTGTATGCTGCAGAGTGGGTTTCTACTTTTTCACCCACCGAATGATAATGGCTACTTTCTGTGTGACAGTCTGAACACACTTTTGGGCCGACAGGATTCGCCATGGTGGAGACTTTTCCACTTGCCAGTCAACCGGCAATTTTGGGATGCCACCACGCAGTCTCAGACTTGGGACTTCATCCCTCGGGAGTTTTGGCAAGCAATGGCGAGACCGCGGCTGTGAGCCACTTTCTGGTACGATGGCACTTTTCGCCTCTGTGGTTGGCCATCTTTGCGGCACACTTTTCGGCGTCTTTTGACGTTTGGTGCTACTTTTGCCGATCGCTGCACTTTGCTGTGCGGAACAGCCACGCCACGGCACCACGACGCAACTTTGTCGCTGCACTTTGATGGGCCGACACACGTGCACAACGAGCACAACGAACTTTTCACAGAAGCAACTTTTGGGATGCTGTAGAACGGAGGCATCCGTTGCACAGCGACTTTTCTCCACGGCCGTGCAAAACTTTGTGCGTGAGCTCACATCTGTACATGTATAGGTGTTACATACTTTACGAGAATAAAGTACTTTACTTTAGTCTCGAGGAGGCGTGTGAAAATAACACCTCCTTTTCTCCCCCAGACTTTGCCACAATGCTACATTGTGGCTCAAGACCACTTTGCCCTCACAGAGAAAAGGCGCTGTTGAACTTCAGGGCTACTTTGGTCGCAGTCGTGTGAGCTTGTGCACGGAAATACTTTAGGGTAGTTTGGTGGGCATTCTGGACTAGTGTACTTTCGTATGTGTGTGTGTGTGTGTGTGCGTGGGTGCGTGGGTGCGTGGGTGCGTGGGTGCGTGGGTGCGTGGGTGCGTGGGTGCGTGGGTGCGTGGGTGCGTGGGTGCGTGGGTGCGTGGGTGCGTGGGTGCGTGGGTGCGTGGGTGCGTGGGTGCGTGGGTGCGTGGGTGCGTGGGTGCGTGCGTGCGTGCGTGCGTGCGTGCGTGC